AAGGGACTTTACGGAGTTTTGAATTTTTATGCTCGCGATTGCCCCCTCAGGCCAAAAGCGTAACAGCAGCTTCAATAGTAGGCTCGTGCACGAGGCACGCATGCTGTACGTGCACACTCCTTAACGAAAATAACAGCTGAGACAGTCAGCTCCGCATGTGTGTGTGTGGGTGTGTGGGTGTGTGTGTGGCCAGGAGGACAGAGGACAGGAGAAGGCGCAGCTTATTAATTAAATAATTTGGGTCTGTAACTTTATCTTTAGCACAGCCGACAAAGGTTTAAGATGGGCCAGTCCTCCTGCATGCTCTTGAAAAATTGTTCCAAAATGAAAGTTGAACCCACATCTTTTTTATCTGTGAATTCAATGCCGTTCGGCGAGTCTCAAATAAAAATTTGGGCAGCTTACTGTAAAAAAATATACCATTAATGTAAAAAAGAAACTCTAAATAAATTATGTTCCCATCCAGAATCGAACCCGGGTCTTCTGCACAAAAGTCTGACGTCTTACCAGGCGAGCTACCGCGCCAGTGACGTCACTTGTATCTGTACCAATTAAGAACGGTTTGGAGGGCTATGCCTGAGCGTGAACGCACATGAAGCAGCCTGCTCGACCCGAGCATCTCTCTTTTTCTGTGATTTTACAGAAAAAATGCCAGGGCTCATTCTACAGGACCAGGGCATTGCAGGAGAATGTATGAAGAAGAAATGTATTATTTCTATACATGTTTTGGCTGTCAAACTTCAATAATGCCCCTTTACATTATTTAATTTGATTAAAACGTAAAAAATAAATCACACTTCTGATTATATATTAGCTCTAAAGCATAAAAATCATAAAAAGCCTCTGCTCCTGCCTACGTGTGTCTTCCTGCTTTATATCATGGGAAATGTATTATTTCTATACATGTTTTGGCTGTCAAACTTCCATAATGCCCCTTTAACTACTTCCACAGTTCTTCAACTATTTACACAATTTTGGTATCAAAATGTTCAGCTCGTTCAGCTTATGCCGGCAATGACTTTTGGTATTAAAATATGTTATACTTTTTGAGATATTCAGCTTTTTTTGCGATTTTTGGCCCCATTGAAATGAATAGGATTGCTCAATTTTCAGCTAAATCCAATCACTAACCCTAACCCTAACCTTTTGAACTCTTACTCTTATAGGTTAACTTTAACCTAGAGACTTCATTCAAGTTTCAACAAACTCACAAGACTTTCAGCTATTACTGGTTAAAAAATCTGTTACAGTTTTTCTAAAATCACAGGTAGAAGTTGAGGTACAGCTTGAGATTTTCAGAAAAAAATCACAAAAATTATAATGGGCAGAGATAGGAGCAATGACCCTCCTTTGCTCCATTTCTAGCATTGTCCTGAGAAAACCGTAAGTCCGATTGAAATGAGCAGCTAACGGATATACCTTTGTTTTGAGCTGTCGTTTTGTTCATTTGTTTGAGAATATTCAAAATAAAAAAAATGTCTCTCACCACTCTAAACTGAAAATTCCACACTAACTTTTGACCTTCACATTTTCTGGAAACAACTCTTTCCAACACCTAGACCGTTTGGAGTACTGAAACAAATTATCTCAAAAAGTAGGAATTTTTGTCAGCTTTTCAGAATGGGTTTAATTTTGTCCTCAAGTGTTACGGTTCTTTCTCTACAAGCCTCAGAAGGAGGAGACACCCTGATTCTCGTCTCTCGTCTCGTCTTCCTCCGCTTATCCGGGTCCGGGTCGCGGGGGCAGCATCCCAACTAGGGAGCTCCAGGCCGTCCTCTCCCCGGCCTTGTCCACCAGCTCCTCCGGCAGGACCCCAAGGCGTTCCCGGACCAGATTGGAGATGTAACCTCTCCAACGTGTCCTGGGTCGACCCGGGGGCCTTCTGCCGGCAGGACATGCCCGAAACACCTCCCCGGGGAGGCGTCCAGGAGGCATCCTGACCAGATGCCCAAACCACCTCAACTGGCTCCTTTCGATCCGGAGGAGCAGCGGTTCTACTCCGAGTCCCTCCCGAATGTCCGAGCTCCTCACCCTATCTCTAAGGCTGAGCCCGGCCACCCTACGGAGGAAACTCATTTCGGCCGCTTGTATCCACGATCTCGTTCTTTCGGTCATTACCCAAAGCTCATGACCATAGGTGAGGATTGGGACGTAGATCGACCGGTAAATCCAGAGCCTGGCTTTCTGGCTCAGCTCCCTCTTCCCCACGACAGATCGGCTCAGCGTCCGCATCACTGCAGACGCCGAGCCAATCCGCCTGTCGATCTCCCGATCCCTCCTACCCTCACTCGTGAACAAGACCCCGAGATACTTAAACTCCTCCACTTGAGGTAGGACCTCTCCCCCGACCCGGAGGTGGCAAGCCACCCTTTTCCGGTCGAGAACCATGGTCTCAGATTTGGAGGTGCTGATCCTCATCCCAGCCGCTTCACATTCGGCCGCGAACCTACCCAGCAAGAGCTGAAGGTCAGAGCTGGATGAAGCTAGGAGGACCACATCATCCGCAAAAAGCAGAGACGAGATTCTCCTGCCACCAAACTCGACACACTCCACACCACGGCTGCGTCTAGAAATTCTGTCCATAAAAGTGATGAACAGAACCGGTGACAAAGGGCAGCCCTGGCGGAGTCCAACTCTCACTGGGAACAGGTCCGACTTACTACCGGCTATGCGGACCAAACTCACGCTCCTCTGGTAAAGGGACTGAATGGCCCTTAACAGAAAGCCACCCACCCCATACTCCTGGAGCGTCCCCCACAGGGTGCCCCTGGGGACACGGTCATAAGCCTTCTCCAAATCCACAAAACACATGTGGATTGGTTGGGCAAACTCCCATGCCCCCTCCATCACCCTTGCAAGGGTATAGAGCTGGTCCACAGTTCCACGGCCAGGACGAAAACCACATTGCTCCTCCTCTATCTGAGATTCAACTATCGATCGGACCCACCCTGATTCTGTCTCTTTGAAACCCATGTTAAAGGAACAGAGATTTTCTCCTCAGATCGGCTTCAGACAGCTAAAATGTTCTCGTCTTAGCTTCAAGACAATTCATGGTAGGCACATAAAAATTCACACAGATGACCATCAAAGCCTTCTGCTGCTCACTATTTTTGAATTTTTCCAATAGGTGCAGCAGTTTTTGAATGGCGATAAGACGTGTCAGAGGTCTGAAATGACATCCGAACAGCTGAGCACTGTTAAATGCATGATATATGAAATATTGACACAAATTTCCACTGACCAACATCTTCAGTTTTGTTGTTGGTATTATATTTTGTGGGCTACAAGCCCCAGAAGGAGGACTGTGCCAGCTTTCATCCATTTAAACCCCTTTAAAAAAAGGCACCTGTGGCGGACAGACAGCTGAAATGTTCCCCTCGTATATTCTAGAACATTTGTGGTAGGCACACAAGACTCCACACAAAGCCTTATGCTGCTCACGCTTTTTGAATTTTTCAGTTCGGTGCAGTATTTTTCGAATGGTGATGAGAAGTTTGACAGGTCCAATTTCACTTCTGAAGGACAGATTTAAAGGCTTCTCTCATTACAGCTGCAGGCCTCCAACAGCCGGGGGAAAAGGCGGGAAAACAGTGCTGCTCTCTGATTGGATGAGTGTTCCATCATTTTCTATACACTTAAAACTAGCAGCATAGCTGACATTTTAACACTAGTCAGAAGGCAGGAACCGCCCCCTCCTCCTTCGCTGCTCTCTCATTGACTGAGAGTTTTCAATTGTCTTCACACAAAAACACACAAAAACAAACTATCAGTGATGAACAAGAATCTGCTTCTAGACCTACGGAAGGAGAAAAAAAAGGGACACAACAACAATACATCAGGAGCAAGCTATCACTGCGTCAACCTGATGAGGAAATATAAAATCAACATTGTTTTACTGAACAATCAAACGATAATAAATCACAGTACATTTAGTGCCAACACAGCTTTAAGACATGTGTTGAAAATGCCCAAGTCCATACTTATGAGAGCACCATGTGAGCTCCTGTGTGTGTACACATGCTTGTTTATGTAAGGTTTCTCTATAGGATATTTCTTTCAGCGTACTTTCCATGTAATGCCCTCACAGACCACTAGGGGTACGTGTAGCCCTGGTTGGGAATCACTCTACCACACAACGCAAAACTCACCCCGATCTCAGATTCTCAAAACTGTCAAAAATATGTGTGTGCCTGGCTTTAATCTAACTCCCATACACCCTGCAGGACCCCCCTCCCTTCACACACACACACACACACACACACACACACACACACACACACACACACACACACACACACACACACACACACACACACACACACACGCACACGCACACACACACACACAAGGATAAAGAGCTGGTCCTGTGTTCCACAGCCTGAACAAAAATCACATTGCTCCTCCTGAATCCGAGGTTTGACAGTCTGACCCACCATCCTCATGTGTGTGTGTGTGTGTTTGTGCCATGTCTTTGTTAAAATACTGGTGAATAAACCCTGAATTTGTCTTTACAGGTCGTCTGTAGTTACAAGATCCCTCCAGCTCTTCACAAAGCTGTCCTTAAAATAAACTGAACAGAAATCCAGATGCATGAGACCATTCCCTAACTCTTTTGCTCACATTTTCTTAAGGCAGGATGAAGTGTTTCCCATATGGGGCTGAACTAGGTTTTCATCAGCACTGCAGCAGGTCCTGGTAACTGAGCCGGACCAGACGTGGAGGCTCTAGATTCCCTCAAGCCACTGCTGTGCTGAAAAGTAAAGTGGAAACTCTGAGTCAATATGATTCTCTGCTTCTTTTAGGACATAGCTGGACTATTATGGGATGTAAATAATTGCTCCAAACGTTCTGCAGAGCTAGGTGGTTCATCTGAACTAGAACTTGGTGAATGAGGCATCAGAGTTTCAGAATGGCTTGTTTTCATCACACCTGTGTGGATGTTCGTGAATGTGATGCTAACATGATGCTAAATGATGACAACTTGTGTTTTCTCTCACCAGGCTGCTTTTTGGGACACTCTATCCTGCATATTACTCCTATAAAGCCGTCAAAACCAAAAACGTCAAAGAATATGTAAGTTCACACTCAGGAGTAACAAGCATGTCTGCTATTCTTCCTGGGGACCTTTTTATACAACCCCAAAAACAATGTTTACATCAAATAGATAAAAAGACAAAAATAAATAAAAAAAACATAAAAACACTAAAAATACAGAAACAAGTCCACCCCACCAAATGCTTACCATAACAGATATAATTTTACCATCCCAAGGCTTCCATTGTATTATATACTTATAAGACCAATAGACAATCATTCATATTGGGAGGGGGGGTTATAGTCCCAGGCCTATAGCCTTTGTAGTATGGCTCAGCCTGATAGCTGATTGCTCCAGGTGGAGCTGATGTTAAAACCACTGACTGGAGGTAGCTGGGAGTGGCTGCTGGTGACATGACCGACACTTGTATAGCACCTTTCAGAGTCAGAGAACTCCTAAGGCTTTACACTACAGTGTATCATTTATCTATTCACACACTGGTGGCAATGAGCTACAATGTAGCCACAGCTACCCTCTGCCTTCTAGGCTGTGACACTTAACGTGAGACGGAGGCCAAGGCCTTTCCTGGAGCAAGCAGAAGACAAGGCCATTGACGGTTCATCTGCTACTCATCAAAAAAACTGACATGCCCCTATTTATTCATAATTTTGAGTTTTAATTGAATCTAAACGGATCAATTATGAAGCAATTTACCCCTAAAACCCTGTAAACCAAAATGAACTAGGCTGTAAACAAGTTTATTCCTGCTGTTAAGTTATCATTTTTAACATGGGAGTCGATGAGAACTTGCTCTTTTCTGGTACCCGCCTGTAGTGGACTAGGAGGGAACTGCAGTTTTTTTTCAGTCACATGTAAAAATACATTTAAACCTTGTGTGTGTGTGTGTGTGTGTGTGTGTGTGTGTGTGTGTGTGTGTGTGTGTGTGTGTGTGTGTGTGTGTGTGTAGGTGCGGTGGATGATGTACTGGATCGTATTTGCTCTGTACACTGTCGTGGAGACTATCACAGACTTGACAGTGGCATGGTGAGTCACAAGGTACTACTAGAGATTAGCGATGTATCGGCATCAGCCATTGTTAGTCATTTTTTAACATATCAGTTCAATTAGTAAATATCTGTAGTGTGAGTGTGTAATAATACTATTGCGCCACAAGGTGTGCACCAGCACCAAAAGAGCAGACATGAAAAAGATGATGAGTGTTTAGCTACTCTATGGGGGTCCAGGGACATGCTCCGCTGGTAGAAAATTTCAGCCACAGATCTCTCTGAAGAACACAACATTGACGGCTTCAGCAACGCTGTGCCACTCCGTGGATTTTCTCATATTTGTTTTGCAAAAGCACTTCCTTTCATTTCTCCACCTCACCCACAAGTACCTCAATTTCTGCTTCGGTGAAATTGCGCTTCTGTGACTTGCTGTCGCCATTGTTAATGGTGAAATGCTGCAACAAGCCGGCTTATGTACATGCATGAGATCCACAAGGCACTTTGCATTGACTATTTATGGCAGTAAGTGGGCGTGGTGAGGACGGCATGTGACTAAAATGCAGCTGAGAAACATTCTCGTTAGTCTCCAATTTATGAAGCGGAGATTGCGTGCAGCTGTGCGTACTCCATGTTTCCTTGTGAACATGTAGTCATAAGTTCACTTTTTTTTATCTGCTAACGTGTTTACCGCAGATGAGAGACCCTCCATGAAATGCTTTTGCCAGCTCATCCTGCTGAGCTGTATGTTTTTTAGTCTCCCTCTCTGTCAGCTCACGGAAGAACAGCATCATTACCATTCATCTCCCTGGCTCCCTCTCTTACCCGAGCATCTCCTGCACAGTAGCCAGATGTGTGTCACCCTTTTTTCACCTTCCTGGAAAAAAAGAAACATGGAGGGTGGAGATATAATTAACACACAAGTGCCAAATAATACATTATATTCAAATTCTGTGGAATGAGATGTTTGTACCAAGTCTGGGGTGGCAATGGGTGCTGGCTGGTAGTAGTTTGTAGGTGCAGTGTAGATGGTGAAGCTGAAGGAATAAATATTTTACAAATAAACCATTTTAATGACCACAGAGATTGCACATTTGCACATGTAAAAAGACTGTTCTATACCTGGTGTGGGGTGGCAGAGGCTGCCAGCAGCTGGCTGAAAGAAGTTGATGCCTCTGCAGACGCTGGCTCTGGTGAAGCAGCTGGATGGATAAACATTTAAGAGTAAAGTTATAAAAAAAACCTTAACATGGTTTCCGCTGTATGTATTTTGTCGTGGCGCAACATTTAGTCGTCCTGGCACTGGAGGCTAGGAGTGGGAGCTGGCCGTCTGGTAGGGGTTTGGAGTGGTGGGATGCTTGTCGGGGGGCTTAAGATTTTTGGCATTTGTCTGATTGATCCCAGTGGCTGCCTGGTGGGATCTGAGTCCCGGGCTCTGTTGGGTCGCCGGCAAAACTAGTTGCCCCTGGGTTCCGGGCTCGGCTGGCTTGGGTGGGGGAGGCAGCGGGTGGGCCTGTGGGCTTGCCGCTTTTATCTCCCAGGACATTCCTGGCTGCTGGTTGTGACCCCCCGGGGCAATTCTGTGCGCCTCTTGAGAGGGGGCTGGGGCTTCTCTGTTTTCAGTCTCCCTGGGGTCCCTGTGCTCTGGGGCAGCTCCTGGATCTCTGGGACTTGGAGCTCCCTCCATCTCCTACACATCTTTGGGGGGCAGATCTGTGGCCCCTCACACACTCTATTGGATGCTCCTATAGAGAAACCTTACACAAACAAGCGCGTGTACGCACACAGGTGCTCACATGGTGCTCCCATAAGTATGGACTTGGGCATTTTCAACACATGTCTTAAGGCTGTGGTTGGCACTAAATGCACTGTGATTTATTATCGTGATTGTTCAGTAAAACAATGTTGATTTTATATTTCCTTTGTTTTTGTCTCTTTGCAGGTCGAACTAGACCCTTATTCATCATTGCTGATCAAATCGTTTATTTTTGCATTTTCCAACACGACAATGATCCAAAACACATCTAAAGCTACTGCTGGTTGTATTACAGAGTGTCTACTGTGTGTGCAGGTTTCCTCTGTACTATGAGCTGAAGATAGCTTTTGTCATCTGGCTGCTGTCCCCCTACACTAGAGGAGCAAGCCTCATCTACAGGAAGTGTCTGCATCCTCTGCTGTCCTCCAGAGAGAGAGTAAGACCCTCCGTCCACCCACAGTACATTTAACCTTTGAATGTCTACATCTAACCCTAAAACGCTCCTGGTTGTCTCCATCAAGGAAATAGATGAATATATAGTCCAGGCCAAAGAGAAGAGCTATGAGACCATGGTGAACTTTGGGAAGCAGGGACTGAGCATTGCAGCAACCGCTGCGGTCAGCGCTGCTGTCAAGGCAAGTGTTGGTGGGACCTCCTCATGGACGTCCTTTTAAGTCTCTACTGATGTTCTATGTCGTGTCTGTCTCCACTGCGTGGACACATTCTTAAGCTTTGCTCTGAAAGTCCAGCAATTAATGTAATTCATCATGAAGTTTCAGCGTATTCATTCAAACAACCCCAGAGCAATTCTACCTTTGTACTAATTATACTTGCATTCAGTGAATGTTGTGCGATTCTCGATACTTCACCCACATGAAACGGCTTTAAAACACAAAACCGGTCCGTATGTCCGGGTTTCTTCTGCTTCTGCTGCTTTCGCCAAGGATGTTCCTCCTGATCTACTATGGTAATCCATTGTGTTATTTCTTCCTTCTATTGCCAGTGGCAAAAAAAAAAAAAAAAGTACCTGCCCTGTAACCGGAGGGTTACAGGTTCAAACCCTGTCTGTTGCAGTCGTTGGGTATTTGGGCAAGACATGTAACCCTCCTTGTCTGCTGGTTGTGGTCAGAGGGACTAGCGGAGCCTGTGCTTGACAGCATCACCACTGTCGGCGTGTCCCAAGACCAGCAGTGTGTGAATGTGTGTTTGTGAATTATTGACTGATTTTGTTGTGGGGTGTTCTAAAAGCTCCCAAGGCGCAATGTCAAATTCAAGCCATTCTTTTTTATTCTTAAGAGTTTATTTCTTATTCCAGATCCCTTTAAAGACACATTTTGCAACTTTTACACCTTAAAATAACGTTTTATGAAAGGTTTTGGCAGCATACTATCGTCAATTATGTTCATTTTCAGAGCTGCGATAGTGCTATGGGGTCCCATACCTGTTAGCCACACAATAAAGTTTGAATGGCTTCGTCTGGGCTGTTACCACATTCAAACAAGAATAACTGTTGGGGGCGCCAGAGCTTCATTTGAGCTTGTCTTATTTTAAAAGGACTTGTTCCGTTAACTGTCTGTTAGGACTTGGCAACTCAATTGTTAAGCAAATTTTTTTGCTAACCAGCCTTAAGTTTAGCGCCACTGTTCGAAGTACAAAATAAGAAAATCAAAGGCAGAAGTGGCCGTATGCAATTTAGAACTTTGTTGGATTATCGTTCGACAAGGAGGGCACCCCGACAAGCATCATAGATAACGTGTACACAGAGATTCTTCAGAACTGAGTTAACTAAATACATCAACCAACTGATGGCCATTAAATTAAATAATTCCTCAAATAAACGCTGTTTTTAAACACCAGCATCTCATGTGGCTTCCTAAATTTACCTAACAACGCTGTTGTGCTTCTTTCAAGTTTCGGCCCCAGCTCTGTTAGCACAGCCCTGATGAAAAGGGACTTGGGAAACCAATCACACTTTTTACTATTCCACAACCCTTTGTATGATTCGTGCATGTGCACAGGCACGCAAACTAGTTTTAGAATAAAATAATACAAGTAATGGCACTACTACTTCATTAGGGTCGGCTTGGTTGTTTTTGCTCTACAAGGTTCTCCGTTGTTCTAACCGTCTTATCCCATTCGTCTCAACTGATCGTGCTTACAAGTGCTTTTCTTTGTTTATTAATGTGTGGCACTCATGTAGAGATTTCATCGTGCTACTTTTGTGGTGGGGTCAAGCTGACTCTAATGCAAAAGTACCATTACAGAATTTCACGTAAAAACAATATGCTGGTTCCATGGTTGATTCGTTTAAATGTTCAGAGTAACACAGAAAAGTGTAAAACAATTGTTTTCATTGTGGCCTTAAAAAATCTCAAAGTTCAGCAGTAGTTGGGGGAAAAAAAGAATCACGCTTACCTTTTAAGTGTTTTTTCAAATTTGATGGCAAATTCTTAAACGCCAGATGCTCATGGTTTTTAGGCTGGCACAAAACACTGCGCATTCGCCATGAATCTTATATAAAGAGTTTACCGTCTAAAGACAGAGGAGGTTCAAGTCCCTTTCAGAGGACACACTGTGCCGTCAAGTCAGTGTAATACCACCGCCACAGTGTGTCTTATGAACGTGCCGTGTCAGCAAGCGTGCTGCCACGCTTTATGCATTGGGGCAACAGAGGAAGGTGTCATAATCACGTGGGGAGTTCCTGCCAAGCTCACAGGCGCCGAGGTGTTTTTTTTTTTTTTTCATAAATCTGCCGGGGTAACATTTATTCCTATTCAACAGAAAGTCCTCTTGACTCATAAAAATTAAAGGCTTTCAAATGTCTTGAGGCCTACAATTATTTTGTTTTAAGGAAAGTTGAGCAGATCTCATCTGAAAACAGAAAGCTGTGGTTGCGCTAACAGCACCAGTCAGCTCAGATGAGCAGAGTCACAGCGTTGTTCACATCACCTGTGGGTGTTGGCCAAAGAAAACGGATAAATCCTCACTGCACCTGCAAAGCTGGGGAAGTCTTAATTAATCTGTGTCCTTACTTATTTTATTACCGTAAATCCTCTAATACAGGCCCGGGCCTGTATTTGAATCAAGCTCATAAAGCTCCAGGCCTTTATTGGAAGGAGTGCCAGTATTAGAGGCAGGCCTCTATTTCTAATTGAGCAAAATGAACTAATGGTTCGCTGGAGTTTTTGACAATTAAAACTGCGCCCACATTTTCAAAGTTAAACACATTTCTTTTAACAACGGTAGTTTCTGCTTCAGCCATCTCCCCCCTCCCCCTGCTTCAGCCCTCTCCCCCCTCCCCCTGCGCAGTGGCCGCAAACTCACTGATGCGCCTGCAGCCTCTCGGAGTTCCTGCTGCTCTAAACATTAAAATAATTATTTCATTTTCTGTTCCTCACTTCTGATTACCTTCAATGGTGTCTGTTTGTTGCAACCAGCAGGTACAAAAACTAACTTGTTTTTATTTGACTATTTTTCTGTCCTGTCTGTTTATTATCTTCCTGCATCTCCTCTCAATCCTAAAGAAAAACTGCTACCTGGGTTCATATATATTTACCTCATGAGTTACCTTTGAACTGCAGTTCTAAAAGATCTACCGACCGCAAAAACAGCGGAGTGCTCGCTCTTTGGCGGCCGTATCAGCGATCAGTGCGTCGGAGGACAAGGTGATGCGCGCAGCGCCCCGCTCCACAGCATGCAGCGAAACGCATCAGGCGCAAATAAAAGACACAAAACATTAAAGGAAATGAACTGACATGAACGATCGCGTGTTAAATTAGTTTTTGAAGTGGCGACACCTGATTGTTACTGTGGCCGTGCTCAGGAGGCAGATCTACCGACCGCGAAAACAGTGGAGCGCTCCCTGCTTGCCGGCCGCATCAGTGATCTGTGCGTCGGAGGACAAGTTGAAGCGCCCCGCTCCACAGCAGCGATACACATCAGGCACAAATAAAAGACAGAAAACATTAAAGGAAATGAACCGACATGAACGATCGCGTGTCAGTACCTACGGTCTGGCACAGCGCGTTGCCCCCCCCCCCCCCCCCCCCCCCTCCCCCCTCCCCCCAGCGCAGGAGCTTGTCACCTGCTGACAGCAGGCTGCTGTCTTTTCCGAGGGCTGCATCTTGCCGGTCATTATCACGTGACAGCGACTAGTCGACGACAGGCATAAAAAGTCACTATAGTGAAGTTGACTAGTTCATACACCCCCTGCTACTGCCCCCCAGAGTGTTCTGCAGCATAATCAGCACGTTCTCTTTGAACTTGATAGTGTAATGACCTGGCTGGGGTTGTAAGCCAGGTGCATTCTGGGTATTGTGTTATATGTGTTTCCTATCGTTCTGCTAGTTCCAATGTGCTGATTTGCGTGTTGTGTGAGTGTTATGTAAGCCACAGGGAAGGTGATGTGTGTTCTGTGGAGCGGGTTGAATTAGCATGGTTAACTGACACCGTGACTCTGTGTGGTAGGAGCGTGATAGAGGATCGTGTCTGTAGCGTTACAAACGTTGAAGAAAAAAACCTAATGAAGGTCTGCGTGAACCTCTACTGCCTCCTGCTGGTTGATTTGGGGACTATAACCCTGCCGCTGGGACGCTCATACTTGCCTGTTACCACATTCCACCCGGCCACAATAAGAGACCGGCCATTATTTACCTCCGCTGACTCAGACACCGGCCAAAATTGGAGACCCGGCCTTTAATTGAATACCGGCCTGTATTAGAGGATTTACGGTATTTGTTATTGTAATGATTGCCATTTGAGACACTAAAATCAGAACAGGAAAGCTTGACTGTGGATTTAAAATACAGGCAGATGAATGTTTTTAAAAACATCTTCTCTAATTAACAAGTATTGAGTCACAAGGACTTACCATAAACTAAATGAGCCTCACAAAGCAGGGATCCATGCTTTCTTCGGAGAGTCCGGGTCGCTTCCTGTCATCTCTTTTCTATTTCCTGGTAGTTTATGGATGTAATCCCAGTAAAACTTTTTATCAAGCCTCCCAGGGGTTGAATTATCAACCACATTGCTAGAATGGTCCATCTGCGTATCCTCCTCCAAATGTACAAAACAACCGCATTATAGTCAATAAACGTTGTTTGTTGCCACACACTCCTGTGATGCAATGCGAGAAACATAAACATTGACGTCACAAAAGATCCTCCTATTCTTTTTAGTGTACATACTGTGTTTTTGTCCGTAATCCATTTTTTAGTTATTTTGCACAGTTTGGTAAAAATGATTTATTTACCTTACACGTTTAAGCTAGTACCTCTAGCCCTCCCCAGAGATCGCCAGTGATGGTGGCGTCACTTCCTTTTATTTGCGGGCAGCAGAGGACTGTGTCGCCCTCTACGGCCTGCGTTCTCTTTGCTGATGACATCAGATCCCATGCGTGATCCAATGTGCTCCTTTTCTGTGGCCGTCTCCAAATTTAGGTCCTCCACCACCTCCCTTACCCATGGTGTCCCACAAGGTTCTGTGCTGGGGCCTCTGCTCTTCCTCCTCTATCTGCTTCCTCTTCAGCACATCCTGAGCTCCTTCAAAGGAATCTCCCACCATCTTTATGCAGATGACATCCAACTGTACATCTCCTTTAAGCCCCATGAGATGTGTAAGCTGCAGCTGTTACACA